AGGGTGGATTAGTAAGTTCGCGGACGATACGAAGGTGGGTCACGTTGTGGACAGTGCGGAGGGCTGTTCTAGGTTACAAAGGGACATTGATAGGATGCAGAGCTGGGCTGAGAAGTGGCAGATGGAGTTTAACCCTGAAAAGTGTGAGGTGATTCATTTTGGAAGGACAAACTTGAAAGCAGAATACAGGGCTAACGGAAAGATTCTTGGCAGTGTGGAGGAGCAGAGGGATCTTGGGGTTCATGTTCTGCCACCCAGGTGGGTAGAGTTGTTAAGAAGGCATATGGTGTGTTAGCTTTCATTAATAGGGGGATCGAGTTCAAGAGCCGTGAAGTTATGCTCCAGCTAAACAAAAGCCTGGTTCAGCCACATCTGGAGTATTGTGTCCAGTTCTGGTCGCCTCATTACAGGAAAGATGTGGAGGCGTTGGAAAAGGTGCAGAGAAGATTTACCAGGATGTTGCCTGGAATGGAGGGAAGATCTTACGAGGAAAGGTTGAGAGCGTTAGGGCTTTTCTCTTTAGAACGACGAAGGATGAGAGGTGACTTGATACAGGTGTACAAAACGATCAGAGGTATAGATAGAGTAGACAGCCAGAGACTTTTTCCTAGGGTGGAGGTAGCTAGTACGAGGGGGCATAGTTTTAAAGTGAGTGGAGGTAGATATAGGGGAGACGTCAGAGGTAGGTTCTTTACTCAGAGAGTAGTAGGGGCGTGGAATGCATTGCCGGAGAGGGTAGCGGAGTCGGCCTCATTAGGGGCATTTAAGCTGCTATTAGATAGGCATATGGATGATAGTATAAGGTAGGGGTGGAGGTTAGATAGACTTTAGGATTGGTGTAAAAGTTCGGCACAACATGGTGGGCCGAAGGGCCTGTACTGTGCTGTACTGTACTGTTCTATGTTGTATCCGTCCATATGTACAAAGACCAAGACAGTACACAGTGTTCCAGATGCAGTCTCACAAATGCTCTGCACAACTGAAGAATAATAACCTTATCTTTAGCTGACTGCTGGTTATACCCACCAACTAACCTGTGATTCCCGCATTTGGATACTCAGATCTCCACAACCTCTCACCATTAGTTTTGTTTGTTCTTCCTGCCAAAAAAAGGACAATTTCACACTTGTCCAGCTTACACTCCATTTGCCAGATCTTTGCTCACTCACTTAACCTTTGTAGGTTCCTTATATCCTCTTCGTGACTCCCTTTTCTACCTATCTTTGTGTCATAGTAAATTTAACCACCATACCTTCAGTCCTTTTATCCACGTCATTTATAGAAATTGTAAACAGTTGAGGCTCCAGCACTGACCCACTCATGATATCCTACCAGTCGGAAAAAGACCTTTTATTCCTACTCCATGGTTTCTGTTTGCCAGCCAATCTTCTAAGTATATCTACTCGTTCCCCTCTATCTATAGAACAAGGTATGTCTTGAAAGAACGGCAACAAATTACACTTGAAACTGCCTCTTTTAGTACTATACTGAATCTCTGATGTTTCATTCACCCTGCTCTGATAAGTTAACCCCTGGAGTTGAGGTATCATTTAGGTCAATCTGCTCTGTGCTCCCTCTAACGTCAGTACCAACTGTTCTTTCTCCGTTGGGGTTACGAGAGAGCGAGAGCGAGAAAGAAAAGACTAATCTTTTTCTCTCCATGGTCAAAGGCAGATGTGATATTCATGTTCTTGTGAACCGAGTGCATCTGACAGATCTTCGTGTGAGGTTTCTTTTCAGCTTCCTGTCTGTAATATGCCTTCAACTGCATACCACATGGTAGACTAGTTAGCAAGGCTATATTACATGGGATCCCAAGGAGAGCTAGCCAAATCGATACAAAATTGGCTTGACAGCAGAAGACAGGGGGAGGTTATAGAATCATACAGCATAGAAACAAGCACTTTGGTCCAACTCAACCATGCCAACACAATCTGACAGTCCCATTTGCCAGCTTTTTGGCCCATATCCCATCGAAACTCTTTCTATTCATATACCCATCCAATTGCCTTTTAAACGTTGTGATTGTACCTGCCTCCTCCACTTCCTCTGGCAGATTGTTCCATACACGCACCATCCTCTGCATGAAAAAGTTACCCCTTGGGTTCTTTTTAAATCTTTTCACTTAAACTTATATTCTCTAGTTTTGGACTCACCCACACTGGAAAAAAGTTTTGGTTATTCACCCTATCCATGCCTCATGACTTCATGAATTTCTACAAGGTCACCATTCCAGGGGAAAAAAGCCCCAGTTTATTCAGCCTCTCCCTATAGCTCAAACCTTCCAGTCCCAGTAACATCCTTACAAATATTTTTTGCACCCTCTCAAGTTTAACACCAACTTTCCTATAGGAGGATCACCAGAATTGTATGCAATATTCCAAAAATGGCTTCACCATTGCCTTGTACAACGACAACATGACATCGCAACTCCTATACTCAATGTACTGACCAATGAAGGCAATACCTAAGACTCCACTTTCAAGGAACTATGCATTTGCACCCTTAGGTCTACTTGCTTGGCATCATTCCCCAGGGCCCTATCATTTACTGTACAAGTCTGGTCCTGGCTTGCTTTACCAAAATGTAATACCTTACATTTATCGAAATTAAACTCCAACAGCCACTCCTCCGCCCATTGACCCATCTGATCAAGGTCCCGTTGTACTATATATAGAATATGATATATAGAATCCCTACAGTGTGGAAACAGGTCCTTTGGCCCAACAAGTCCACACCAACCCTCAGAGCAACCACCCACACCCATCCCCCTATAACCCAACTAACCTACACATCCCTGAACACTACGGACAATTTGGTATGGCCAATCCACGTAGCCTGCAAATCTTTGGACTGTGGGAGGAAACTGGAGCACCTGGAGGAAACCCACGCAGACATGGGGAGAATGTGCAAACTCCACAAAGACAGTCGCTCAAGGCTGGAATTGAACCCGGGTCCCTGGTGCTGTGAGGCAGCAGTGCTAACCACTGAGACACCGTGCCACCCTAATGTTCTTCATTGTCCACTACACCATCTGTTTTGATGTCATCTGCAAACTTACTAACCATACCTCCTATATTCACATCCAAATCACATATAAATGACTAAAAGTGGATTCAGCACTGGTCACAGGCTTTCAGTTTGAAAAAAAAAAATTCCTCCACTGCTACTACTACCCTCTGACTGCTACCTTTCAAGCCAATTTTGTATCCAATTAGTCTCATTGGATCCCTGTAAGGATGAACAGTTGTTTCTCAGATTGGAGGTCTGTGACTAGCAGCGTGCGTCCGCTCTTGTTTGTCATTTCTCTAAATAATTTGGATGAGCATATAGGATGCATGGTGAGTTTGTTGATGACACCAAATTTGGTGGTATAGTGGACAGTGAAGAAGGTTATCTAAGAGTACAACAAGATGTTGATTAACTGGGCCAATGTGCCGAAGAATGACAGATGAAGTTTAAGTTAGCTAAAGGGAAGATGTTGCATTTCCGTAATATAAACCAGGGGAGGATATAAAGTTAACGGTAGGGCCCTGGGGAGTGTTGTCGAACAGAGAGACCTAGGGGTGCAGGTACACAGTTCCTTGAAAGTGGCATCACAGGTGGACAGGGTGGTGAAGGCATGTGGCACACTTGCCTTCATCAGTTCGAGCACAGGAACTGGGATGTCATGTTACAGCTTATAAGAAATCAATATGGTCACATTTGGAGTACTGTGTACCAGGCTGTAGACTCGCTCGCCGAGCTGGCGTTGCAGACGTTTTGTCACCCTGCTAGGTACTGTGTACCATGTGCTCATCCTGCTATAGGAAGGATGTCATTAAACTAGAAAGGGTTTAAAAGGATGTTACCAAGCCTGGAAGGTTTTAGTTATAAGGAGAGGCTGAATAGGTTGTGACCTTTTCCCCCTGAAGCATAGGTTTGACCTTGTAGTGGTTTATAAAATCATGAGGGGCATATAAATGGTCAATACCTAAGGTCTTTTCCCCAGGGTAGGGGGGTCCAAAACTAGAGGACACAGGTTTAAGGTGAGAGGGAAAGATTTAAAAGAGGCCTCAGGGGCAACTTTTTCTACAGAGGGTGATGCGTGTATTGAACGAGCTGCTAGAGGAAGTGGTGGAGGCGATTACAACAATTAAAAGGCATTTGGACAGGGATATGAGTCGGAAAGGTTCAAAGGAATATGGGCCAAACACAGTCAAGGTAGACCAGATCAGTTTAGGAAACCTGGTCGACACGGACCAGTTTAGCCGCAGGACCTGCTTCTGGGCGGTATACCGCTATGACACCAAAATACACGCAGCAGCGGTGAACGGGTTCCTCCGAAACTTACCCCCAATAAAGATGGCGTTCGCATATGCCTCCCGTCAACCATTTCCCCCAATAAAGATGGCGGCGGCAACCCGGGCCTATCACGGCCTGATGCCTACAACCGTTTTCCGTTTGCTGCAAACGCGGGAGCTTCCTAATTCGGGTGGGGAGGGTAAATCCGACGTTTGCGGAATTTTCGGATCCATAACTTCCCTCCCACCCTCCGCTACTACTTCTACACCCTTAACCGTTTCTCTCACCTCCCGCAATTAGTCAGAGACAGTCAGCGTCACCACATGTCCTTCCACTGACCCCGCCCCTCCTTCACTCCCATTGGTTGGAGGACCGTTCGATCCATTGGTGTGGGGCCTCCCACAGTCACATGGCACCTTTGAGCGGGAACTTTTTTTCTGAAAGACTCGTCCCCGTGCACCCAACAAATAATTGTGGGTGGAGGGACTAGGTGATTACATAAACACGTTGCGAAAGGCACAGTGCCCCGAATGGGGAGCTACTGCTCTTTGCTCGCACGGGCGGGGCGACACTGCGGGACCTCAAAGGCTCCGAACGCCTCCGGGACTCGGGTTACCATCCACCATCTTTGTTAGGGGCACTCAGGACCAGGCGAATTGCGCGGTCACCATATTTATAGGGGGCAATATGAAGTATTACGCATGCGCAGTGGTCGTATCAATCATTGTCAATCCATTGTTCACATCTACTAGTGCCCTCCCTGATCACCTTTCTGTCAGTGCCTAACTCCCTCTTGTCTCTAATAATTTTAACTCATTAGTATTTTACTGTTACTTCTTTGTCTATTTTCCTAAACGATTCCACCATTGTCCCTCCCCTGACGATGTTATGCTGCTAACTTACCAGCGACGTTACCTACAGCATCATTGACAGTTAAGACTATTTTTCCTGTGGTGGAAACTACATCTCTTTCGGTTCTGAGCATACATTCACCACAATGCTGTTCATAATTCATTAACTTTTCTTTTCCCTTTCTCCACAGATGTTTTGTCAATCCACAGTGGCTACGGAGATGTCCTTCCTGAATCACTGCAGTTCGCAGATTGAAGATGCTCCCACAATGCTGTCAGGTAAAAAGGTACAGCTTAACCAGTGATGATGAGGGGTCATGAAACGTTTAAACCAACAACAATTTCACAATCACAGAACTGCTACAGTGCCAAAGGAGGTCATTCAGCCCATCATGTCTGCACTGGCTTTCGAATGAGCTTCATGACTTAATGTCATTGTCCTACCTTTACCCCGCAAAGCTGAACACTGAACGTGGTTTCTATTTAAGTAATGATCTAAGATTATCTTGAATGCATCAGTTGAATCTGTATCCTAGAAATGTCCCGACAGTGGATTCCATATTCTAAATATTTGCAGTATGAAATTGTTTGCTCTCCTCTCATATTTGCTTCATTTGCAAACCTTGTTAAGACTGTACCCTCTGGTTCCCAATCCTTTGATGAGTGGGAACAATTTGCCCCTTTGTTTCGCTATAATTATATTTAATGCAATTTGTACTTCGATTTGGAGACAGGAAGGACTGCAGGAGTTGGAAGCTAAAGTTAACAAATGTGGAGCTGGAAAATCACAGCAGGTCAGATAGTATCCAAGCAGCAGGGAAATCAACGTTTCAGGCTGGAGCATCTGTTTAAATCAGGAATGTTCATGATGCTAGAATTAGATCAGTATAGAAATCTCAAAGTTCAGAGACAGAAAGACATGACCAAGATGAGGAGAATTGCAACCATAAAGGAATGTGACGATGAGAATTTTCAAATGTTTGAACCTCTTAAATTGAAGACATTTGTAGTTAGCAAGCATAGGGGTTATGATTGAACATGACTTAGTGTGAGTAAGCACATGGAACAGCAGAACTTTGGAAGACCTTAAGATTTCATGGAGGTTGAATGTGGGAGGCCAACCAGGAGTACATCAGGATAGTTAGGGCTAGAGGTAACAAAGGAATCAACCGCCTGTATTCCCTACATCTCTCCCTGCCTCACTCCTTGTATGGAAGCCAGAGTCTTGTATCGGTCCAGACTAGGTGGCAGTTTCCCTACCCTGGTGTACAGTAAGGAACCAATTGAATGAAGTGATTAAAACCTCCAGGGCCTGACAGCAGAATTAGATAACTTGCAGAGATCTAAGGACCTATGGTTTGAGGAGACTACAGAGATAGAGATGATCACAATCAGGAAGGAAAACAGGGATGAGAAATTTAAAATATTACTGTGTTCTAACCAGGAAACTTTGCAGGTCAAAGTTTTTGAAAAGATTTGTAGCTCAGGTTGTGGATGAGGTTGCAGACTTGCTCACTGAGCCGGTGTGTTTGATTGAAGATGTTTTGTCACCTTGCTAGGTAACATTGTCAGTGCACCTCCGGTGAAGTGTTGGTGTTCTGTTCCGCTTGTTATTTATATGCCTCGGTTAGCTTGACTGGTTGGCATCACTTCCAGTTCTGTTTTTCAGTGGTTTGTATATCAGGTCCAGTTCAATGTGTTTGTTGATGGAATTCTGGTTGGAATGCCAGGCCTCCAGGAATTCCCTGGCATATCTCTGTTTGGCTTGTGCTATTATGGATGTGTTGTCCCAGTCGAATTTGTGCCCTTCTTTGTCTGTGTGTACTGAGACCAGTGAGAACCATCCCAGCAAACCGAGGGATATAAATAACAAGCGGGTCAGAACACCAACACTTCACTGGAGGCACACTGACGATGTTGCCTAGCAGGGTGTCGAAACATCTCCAATCAAGCACACTGGCTCAGCAAGCAAGTCTACAAACTCTGACATTGCAGGTTTGTGAGTACAAGGATGATGGGTGAACAAGATTTAGTGAGAGTCACTAATCGGAAGTAGAGTGTTGGATAACATGTAGAATAATGTGTAGATTACAGGGAGTTTGAGTGGGTGGTGCTGTCTTGGCGGGGGTTGGGGGTTAGTGTTGGAAGGGACAGCAAATAGAAATCAAGAGAAATGTTTGTTTCTTCTGATTGCTGTCCTGGACTCTCAATGAATAACTTTGTCAACTTGTTTTTACAGGGTATTCCAAGTAGCTGTACAGATAGGAAATGCATGCCAAAGGTTACATCAAAAGTCTAATATAATCACTCGATTTATCTGGACCTGGGTATCAGGCGGCCTTTTAGTGTAAGCATTGAGTTCCAGGTCATTACCACTTGCAGCATTTCTCTTTCTTGCTTCACTTCTTGCCCAAATTGTACAAGTCGTATAAACTTGTTACAGTCCGCTAATGGGAACTGCTTTTCTTTATCTGCTTTATCGGAAGTTACCAGAAAATCACAGCCTCCCATCCTTCACAATGTGTGGTGATCTCTGGTTTGCACAGACCCAGATTTGCTTTATTCCTGTAATGATGTCATCATGCATTGACAATTGCATGGTGACATCAGCCATTCCCTGGGATTTCCTCAACTGTGAGATTTTTCTGCCTCCAGTGTTTCTGTTATCTTTGCAGCTACAGGCTCCAGCAAGAGATTTTACACTAAAACCGTGAGAGTGTTTAAAAAAAAAATTTGTCTACAATTTTGAGCTTCTAGTGCCATACTCTGTTATCTGGTTCCATTTGGTCCGAGGCTTGTGTATCACCTTTACTGTGGATCAGAATCCATGTCCACTCACTGCTCTTGTTTCAACTCTGCCCTCCCACCCTAATCACCCTGTTTACTTTCCTCTCTAATAATGGGTGCATTTCTCCTCCATTTAGTATTTTACTATTACTTCTGCTGACTTTGTCTAACTGATGTTTCCATCCCTTGACCGTGTGCTGCTGACTTACCAGCTTCAGGAACAAGTATTTCTGTAGAATATATTTTGCATTGACTTTTCTTATAATAAAAACAGGTATCTCAGATAATGCTGGGATGTCACACTAACTCAATTGGTTCATTACTGTCGCTCAGCAAAGGGAAACTGCTACCTGGTCTTGACTGATACAAGATTCTGGCCTCTATACAAGGACAATTGTTTAGGTATCACTAACCAGACTAACAGTCATTATCAATCCCCAGTTTGCAGTGGCAAAGATGTTGTTTGACCTTCTTGAACCACTGTGCGGTGACGGTTCTCCCATGATGCCGCTAAGTAAGGAGCTACAGATCATTCACTCAGGGATGGTGAAGGAATGATGATATATGTCCAAATCAACAGCAACAATTTTCATTTTGTAAGGGAACAACCCAGGACGTTTTACAAAAATATCAGAAAAACAGTGGACACCAAGACACCAAAGGAAACATTAAGGCAGATGACCAAATCATTGGCCAAATTGATAGGTGTTAAGGGGGACACTAAAATTGAAAAGTGAGGTTGAGAGACAGAGGGTTAGGGAGGAAATTCTGAGATTATGGTCTTGAAAGGTAGATGCACAGCTACCAAAGTTTGTACAGATGAAATCAGGAATGCACAGGAAGCCAGAATTTGAGGAGTGCAAACATCCTGAGGTTGTCAGTTTGAGGGAGACCCAAGAGATAGGGAGGGTTGTGAGGCTGGAGGAGATTACAGCGATTGGGAGGCTTTCGAGGCTAGAGGACTTCACAGAATGAGGCTAGAGCTGATTCTGGAGGTGGTTACTGAGTTTGGGAGGCACAATATCATGACGGACTTGAGAACAAGGATGGAAATTGTAAAGTTTTCATTGTCTTGACCCAAAAATGTTTTTTTTCCAGTTAGTGAACACGGGTGATGGGCGAACGAGATTTGGTGTGAATAAACATGTGGGCTGTAGAGTTTTGAATGACCTGATGTTTACAGCGAGTTTGAATGTTGTTTGTTGGTCAGGAGTGTGTCTGGATAGTTATGTCTAGAGGTAGCAAAAGGAATTCCACACGTGTATCTCCCACCTCTGTCCTTCTATCTCTGTCTTTATTTGGAGGCCAGAGTCTTCTATCAGTCAAGACCAGGAAGCAGTTTTTCTTTGCTGAGCGACAATAATGAACCAGTTGAGTTTGTATGACATTCCAGCATTATCCCTGATCATTTCTTGCTTAGTGCTGGCCCCACAAATTACCAGATTCATTAAGCTCCATTTCACTACTTCTCCTTGTTTTCGTATATGTTACTTCTCACTCCTTTTGTCTGTTTTAAATTGGTTTCACAGGGTATTGGATGGAGAAGATTTGCAGCCAGGAACTGGAAGCCAGTCAATAAATCAGATTCTGAGAGCCTCACCCCATTTATGATAACTTTATGGTCACTGGAGTTTGGACATGGACGGGGAGAACCTATACATGTGTTGTATGTGTGGACAAGGCTTCAGCCAACCACCTGGCCTGTCAGAACATAAATGCAGTCAGAATGGAGAGAGGTACGGGGACTGTGGGAAGGGATTCAGATCCCTGTCTGAGCTGGAAATGCATCAACACAGTCACACCGAGGAGAGGCCGTTCATTTGCTCAGACTGTGGGAAGCGATTCACTCAATCATCGGATCTTCTGAAACACCAGCGAGTTCACACTGGGGAAAGGCCATTCACCTGCTCCACGTGTGGAAAGGGATTTACAGAGTCGTCTACCCTGCTGAGACACCAGCGTGTCCACACTGGGGAGAGACCTTTTAAGTGCCCGAACTGTGGGAAATGCTTTAAATGTTCTGGTGACTTGATGCGCCATCAGCGTATTCACTCTGACGAGAAGCCATTCAGATGCTCTCACTGCGGGAACGAGTTCAGGCAATTGTCTGGCCTCACTAAACACCAGCGAATTCACACCGGGGAGAGACCGTTCACCTGCTCTGTCTGTGGGAAGGCATTCACTCAGTCGTCCACTCTGCTGATACACCAGCGCATTCACACTGGGGAGGGACTGTTCACTTGCTCCGAGTGTGGCAAGAAATTCACTTGTTCGACTGCCCTGCTGAGACACCAACGAGTCCATGAGTAATGGCAGTGGTGGGACTTTACTATGAATCACATCCAGGACTGAACTGTTTACGTTAGTGTTTGTTTCTGCTGGTGATATTAAACTCCAGCTCAGTTACAGGTGTTAATACTTTGCATATACATTCATTACTTCAATTTTGTGCTCATCACAGTGTGTTGCATCTTTTCAACTTATTAAACCCGTTTGTTCCTTTTTGACAATCTGAAACGGTCACTTTAGTTGTGCAGGTTCAAATTGAAATGTTAGAGAAAAAGGATTTGTGTGAAAAGTTGCAAGAGGGGATTTGTCTTTCTATTTCTGTCTGACAATAATTCCTATTTATTTAGCCCCTTCAGCCTCATGAAATATTTCAAGGTTCTTAGGGCATCGTATAACAATGCATGACACCAAGACATACTTGGGAAAGTGAGAAGAAACTTGAGCAAAGACTGTGGGTTTTAGGAACTGTCCTAAGGGAGGAAAGTGTCAGTATCACGTTCCAGCTCAAAGCAATGGGTGTCATTTAGCTGAAGGAGTTGCTTGTGTTCTACTTAAACATGTCATTTTGTCAGAGAAACTTGTCTCTGGTGAGAACAATGGAAATAGAAACGGGAAAGGTAGTGTGGACAAGCCAAATGTGAGAGTTTAGAGGCAGCTTCCCTATGCTCTAGTGACTAGGTTTGGCACTCTTATTGTCATTGCCTGGGTTTGATTCCTGGTCTCAGTCAATACAGATTTCTCCACACATCTTTCTTACTGAGTGAAAACTTTAAAAAAACAACTAGAATCAGTCAAGTCAGTGTGGATGTTTTACACCAGAACTGCAAATGTCACATGCAATCATTTAGGGGCTGCAACATAACGACTGCTGTGATTAAGTAAAGCAGCTCACCTCCACTTTCTCCAGGGCAATGAGAGATGAGCAAGAAAATGCTAGCCCTGGCCTGTGATGGCCATACCCTGTGAAAGAATAACAAAATATAGAGTTGGAATGAAGGAGCGAAAGAAAAAGAGAAGGGTTGTGAAAGGTTGCATGCATAGAATATATAGTTTTTGGTGCAAGACAAACAATGGACGGTAATGGGTAAGATTTAACTTCCTGCTGTTTACACTGCTACAAATATCACGCCCGATCAACCAATCACAACTACTTGTTCAAAGCAATGCACCTCGCCGAATGACCGCTTTCTGTGTTGCAACTCTCTATCACTTTAAGTTTCCCAACATCATGATGGTTCAACTCACAGCCATTTATCATTGCCCACTCCAATGAAATACAACAGAATTTTTTAACTCTTACATTACACTTTTACAGTCTTACTGTATGGAAACAGATCCTTCAGTCCAACCAGTCTGTGCTGACCATAGTCCCAAACTAAAGTAGTCCCACCTGCTCGTGCTTGTCCCATATCCCTCCAAACATTTCTTATTCATGTACTTATCCAAATGTTGTTTAAATGTAACTGTACCTGCATCCACCACTTCCTCTGGAAGTTCATTCCGTTCACTAACCACTCTCATTTTTGAAAAGGTTGCCACATGTGTCCTTTTTAAATCTTTCTCCTCCCACCTTAAAATTATGCCCCCTAGTCATGAAATCCACCACCCGAGGGAAAAGATACCTGCCATTCACATTATCTATGCCCCTCATGATTTTAAAAACCTCTATAAGGTCACCCTTCAATGTCATATGCTCTAGTGAACCTCTCCTTAACGTACAAGCCTTCCATTCCTGGCAACATAGATCATAGAATCCCTACAGTGTGGAAGCAGGCCCTTCGGCCCAACAAATCCACACCGACCCTCAGAGCATCCCACCCAGACCCATCCCCTAAAACCCACCTAATCTACATATCCCTGAACACTACGGGCAATTTGGCATGGCCAATCCACCTCGCCTGCACATCTTTGGCTGTGGGAGGAAACCGGAGCACCCGGAGGAAACCCGTGCAGACACAGGAAGAATGTGCAAACTCCACACAGACAGTCGCCCGAGGGTGGAATCAAACCTGGGTCCCTGGTGCTGTGAGGCAGCAGTGCTAACCACTGAGCCACCATGCTACAGGTGGTGATCTTCCCATGTTTCTGCTGCCCTTATCCTTCTGGACGGAAGTGGTCATGGGTTTGGAAGGTGCTGTCTAAAGATCTTTATTGAATTTCTGTAGTGTGCATCTTGTAGATAGTATACACTGCAGTCTTGATGGTGGAGTGTGTGGATGTTTGTGGAGGTGGTGCCAATTAAGTGGGTTGCTTTGGGGAGTCAGGAGGTAGGTTACTTGCTATAGTATTCCTAGCCTCTGACCTAGTCTTTTAAGTGCTGTGGTTATGAACCAAAAGACCCATGTTTGAGTCCAATTCCAGGATTTTATGACCAAAGAAAGTGTGTCACAATGTGTCCAAACAGATTACCAACTTGTAAAATCCTTTAAATGCTAGGTTCCTGGTTTGATATCTGCAGAACAAAATGGCAAACCGTTGCAGTACTTTGTACGCATTACCTGGGATCAATAATGTCATCCGGTCCCCTTCAAGGCCTGGTACCCAGCCACAGAGAGAGAGCAGAGGCAATGGGCAGAATTTAATGCCGTTCCTCTAGGAAGTGTTGCGTGACTAATGGGCATCTAATTGGGTGGGAGATTAGCAGATGGAAATCTGGCAAACGATCAGTTTGGTGAAGCTAGTGGATGTCCTTTCTGTCACACTATCAACTGAGAGCTTTAAGATGGTAATTAAGCCCTCAGTGCACTGTCCCTGGTAACCAGTAGGTGGTGGACTCGCTTTTGTGACAACATCCTGGAAAATCTTTTCTGAACCCTCTCCAGCTTATTAATATTCTTCCTATAATAGGGTGACCAGAAGTGGACACACTACTCCAGAAGAGGCCCCACCAACATCCTGTACAACTTCAACATGACTTCCCAATTTCTATACACAAAGGTCTGAGCAATGAAGGCAAGCATGCTAAATACCTTCTTAGCTACATGTGACGACAACTGCAAAAAATTATGTACCTGCAATCCTAGGTTTCTTTGTTCTACAATATGACCAATTGCCCTACTTCTAATTGTATAAGCCCTGCCCTTGTTTCTTTTACCGAAATGCAATACCCTGCATTGATCCAAATTAAACTCCATACGCCATTTCCTCAGCACATTGACCCAATCGATCAAGATCTCTTTGTAATCTTGGATAACCTTCTTCACTGTCCAATACATCACCAGTTCTGGTGTCATCTGCAAACTTATTAACCATGCCTTTTTAAATAAATGACTTAGATGAGAATATAAATGGCAAACAAAAGTGGACCCAGCATTGATCCCTGCAGAACACCACTGGTAACAGGCCTCCAGTCCAAAAAAATCGCTTCACCACCATTCTCTGTCTCCTGCTGTTAAGCCAATTTTGTATCCAATTGGTGAGCTCACCCTAAATCACACGTGATCTAACTTTACTAATTAGTCTACCATGTGGAACATTGTCAAAAGCTTTACTCAAGTCCAAGTAAACAATGTCTACCACTCCGCCCTCATCAACCTTATTGGTTACTTCCTCAACAAACTCAATCAAGTTTGTGAGACATGACTTCCTGTGCACAAAACCATGCTGACTAGCCCCAATCATTCCTTGCCTCTCCAAGTGTATGTAAATCCCATCTTTCAGAATCACCTCCAAAAATCTACCCACCACGGATGTCAGACTTACCGGTCTATAGTTCTCAGGCTTATATTTACATCTCTTCTAAGGCACAACATTATTCACTCTCCAGTCATCCGGCACCTCAACCCATAATTATAAATACAAATATTTCTGCAAAGGGCCCTGCAGTTTCCTCCCTAACTTCCCACAACAGCCTGGGACACACTAGATTAGGTCCCAGAGATTTATCCACCTTTATACAGTCTAAGACCTCTAGCACATCTTCTTCTGTAATGTGAACTGTTTTCAAAACATCAATATTTGTTTCCCTCCATTTTAAAGACAAGACGATGACTGAATTCAGCAGAATGTGTTCTTGTCATTTCTTGTACCCCATTTGGAATCAAACTAATTGAGTGAAAGTTTAAACAGTGCAAACCCGTCACTGCAGCTCAGCACGTCCAAACAACAACTGTTCCACAGCCTGTTCTGTACTGTCCTGTGGTACAGGTGCTGTACAGCATGAAATTACTGCAGCTCCACTTTCTTCACATTGAAATCCAATGCAAAAACCAACACAATTTCACAGCCCAGTAATGTACACAAGAGTGGAAGAAGACTCCCTCTGGGAATAATGGGCATGGTGTACATTTTTGGAACGGGTACGGGACATCAAGAGTGATCACATCCTCACGTCTCTTTAACTTGTCATCTGCAAATATCTCATTTCTCAATGCCTTGCATCTTAGATACCTGCTCCCACATTTCAAGAAAAGTTTGGGATTAGAGTATGTCTTGGTTTATGACAAGCAATATATTGACACAAAAGCCAAATAGGAAGATGGAGGGAGGTGTGGACAGAAGCCAAAAGAGATGCAACATGAAAACGTTGCCATTTGTCAGTTGTTTTTAGTGAGGAATGTCCATCAGGTACTGGCTTGTGCACCACAAAAAGTTGCTTGTTTCACTGCATTGTCCCTGTCATGTTCAAGTTCAGTGCAATACTTGCTGGCACTGGCTATTTGTGTGTTACTGACAAATGGTATTTTACAGTAGAAATTTGTCTCTGGTGTGAGTTATCTCAAGCCAATTCATGATAAAAGTCGCAAGGACGAGGCAACCTGTGAAATGGCACAGCAGCACCCCTGGTGGTGAAAGTAGTGCAGAGCAGGAAAGCCATGAGATGGCACAACAGTGCCTCTGGTGGTGAAAGTAGTGTGGATCAGGTAACCTGTGAGAATGGCCCAGCACTGTGCCCTCTCAGAGCTCATTATGTGCACAGAGACCCATCATGTTTATCCATCTTAAATGCTAACCATCCGTTTGACCGTGTTCACTGGCACAAATCCAAATTTTCCTGTCTCCGGAATACATCAGGAGGTGCACATTATGAGCCTGCGCAAGTCCTGACCAACAGAAACGCATAGGAGTTGCATGGCGAGGTCAGGTGGAATGCTGCCCAGGAACATCTGTGAATGTCTCAGACCTGAGGCCAGGCAGAGAATATGATGTGACAGGCAAGACTTAACTGTGTGTTTACCAAGGAAGTGTAGACTGATTAATAAGTGTTCAAATAGGACAACTCAATTAAACACAGTAACTGACCCCACCAGTCCCTTGACTAACTCCTGGATCACACACCCCGCTTAACTGTTCCTGATCACAGACTAAGCCCTAACCTGGCTATACCCTGGGTACTCCTGACCTAGGAACCCACTTCCCACTCACCAAGTACGGAAGCTGATGTAAAAACAGGAGTCTACTGTCTTCTTTCATAACTCACTGCACTCACCCTGGAGTCACTGAGCTGCCCACTTCTCCTTCTGCTGGTACTGGGGTATCCTAGAACAAATGGATGGTATCATTGGGTCAGTTTAAAAAAAAAATAGGCTGTGGCAGTACACTCAGCATTCTCTCTGACTGGACAATTTATTCTGTCATTGACATTTCCCACTCATTGGATACTTGGAGCAAAAGAGCATCCAAATTAGAAGCAAAGTGGATCAAGCAGCCCCTTGAGTCTGCCCTGCCATTCAATAACATCATGGCCAATTGAGTTATGTCCTTGATCCCACTTTCCTGTCTGCCCTATAACCCTGGACTCCCTCATAGACCAAACATCTGCCTAACTCAGCCTCGAATACATTCAATAACCCAGACTACACACTTTAAAGGTCTTGAGGTCGATTATATGTCCAGGCTGTGAAAAAACTGGTTTAGTCACAGACACTTGCGGAAAGAAGGATAAGTAGCTGAGGAGCAGAAGATGGAACAAGGGCCAGAATCAATGGCTTCAGCCTCCACAAGTTTGGGTTGGACAGAATTCTGCAAGTCGAGTCCTGGATGTGGGAGAAGCAATCTGAGACTTTAGTAACAGTGGAAGAATTGCGAGTGGTGTTAGTGTCATCAGCCAAAGTGAAATCTGACGCTGTTTTCAGATGATGACCTTGAGCAGCAGAATGTGGATTAGGATTAGGAGGAGGCCAAGGACAGATGCTCCGGGATACCAGAAGTAACAGCGTGGAAACAGGAAGGGAAGGCACTGTAGTTGATACTCTGGCTGTAATGTGACAGGTCAGCAATGAAGCAGAAGAGTGTATGCCCACTCAGCAGGACAACAGTGAAGAGGGGCTGCAGGTGGATTGTGTGGTGAAAGGCTTCAGACAGGACGAGAAGGACAAGGAGCGACAGCTTACTTTCATCATAGTTACACAGGACTTCATTGGTGGCTTTGACAAGAGTTTGATTGTGTGACGGGGAGGAAATGTGATCGGAGGAATTGAAAGATAGAATTCTGGGAACAATGGACCCAGATTCACTTTCAGTGAAGAAGGACAGGTTCAAGATGGGATACAAAGATGGCTGAGTCAAGTGGTTTCTTTTTAGAGGATGAGTTAATGGCGGCAGAGTGAAAGGGAAGTGGGACAGTCTTTGAAGAGAGGAAACCATGAACAATATCAGTGACCTAGGACAGTTTGATAGATGCCATCAGTAGTTCACTGTTGTTCAGAAACAAGACTGAGGGATGAGGAGGTGGATCTTATGGACAAGGTGAGCCCTGACAGGGAATGAGGGGGCGCGAGAGAGGAACTGGAGAAATGACGATTTCACAGCTTTGACATGAAGGAACTTGGAAGAAGTTTTGCTTGAAAGATTAGGGGAAGGGAGGGAAACAGCAGAAGCAGATGATTAGATTGTCTCAATCTTAGTGACAAAGAAACTCTGAGGTGAAGTGGAAGGAAAAAGAGAGAGGGAGAATTCTTCAAAAGAAATTAACTTGTGTTAAAGATATTAAAAAGACTTAAAACACAGTGTATACAACACAAGTGTGATTTATTTGACCTTTAACCAGCACTTTAACACCTATAACTGGGCTCTAGATTATTAACACCAACAGAAATAGGTCCACATGAGCATAATAGCAAATTCCAATCACTGTGGTTAGTTGTGAATCCGCTGGTGTGCCAGCAGGTTGGACGACTGAGCAAATCTCTTCCCACACACGGAGCAGGTGAAAGGCTTCTCCCCAGTGTGTGTTCTCTGGTGTGCCAGAAGGTTAGACGACTGAGTGAATCTCTTCCCACACACGGAGCAGGTGAACGGTCTCTCTCCAGTGTGAATTCGCTGGTGTACAGTGAGATGAGATGACAACCTGAATCCAGTTCCACAGTGAGAGCATCTGAACGGTCTCTCATCGGTGTGAACACGTTGATGGCAGATTAGTTCCCCAGAACTTTTAAAACATTTCCCACAGTTCAGACATTTAAAAGGTTTCTCTCCCGTGTGAACTTGCTGGTGTCTTAGTAGGTGGAATGATCGAGTGAATCCTTTCCCACACTCAGAGCAGGTGAATGGCCTCTCCCCAGAGTGGATCCGCTGGTGTACAGTGAGTTGGAATGATTTTTTGAACGCAGCCCCACAGTGAGAACACATGAACGGTCTCTCATCAGTGTGAACAAATTGATGGGACATCAGTTCCTCAGAACTTGTAAAGCACATCCCACAGTCCAGGCAATTAAACGGTCTCTCCCCAGTGTGAATGCGGTGGTGTCTCAGCAGGTGGGTTGACTGAGTGAATCCCTTCCCACACACAGAGCAGGTGAACGGCCTCTCCCCGGTGTGAACCCGCTGGTGTGCAGTGAGGTGAGAGGATCGCCTGAACCCAGTCCCACATTGGGAGCACCTAAACAGTCTCTCGTCAGTGTGAACACGTTGATGGGACATTAGTTTATCGGAACTTTTATAACACTTCCCACAGTCTGGGCATTTAAAAGGTCTCTTGTCAGTGTGAACGAGCTGGTGTTTCAGCAGGTGGGATAGCTGAGTGAATGCCTTCCTACACTCGGTGCAGGTGAACGGCCTCTCCCCAGTGTGAACTCTCTGGTGGGTCAGCAGGTGGGATAACTGAGTGAATCTCTTCCCACACCTAGAGCAGGTGAACGGCCTCTCTCCAGTGTGAATGCGCCGATGAACCTCCAGCTCTGATGGGGATCTGAATCCCTTCCCACAGTCCCCACACTTCCACGGTTTCTCCTCTTTCTGACCGTATTTATGTTCCAACACACCAGATGACTGGCTGAGATCCTGGTGGCAAAGAGAATGCGTGTACAGTGTCTCTCCACTATGAACAGTGCTGTTTCCTTCCATGTTCAAAACGTGATGATATTCAGGTTGCCAGAAACTGGGCACTTCTAACAGATCCTGATCTGACGTTTTGCTTCTGTTTCCTAATTACAAATCCTCCCCTTCTAAGACTCTGTGAAGTTTATTTTAAACAGAAAATCTGGAGTGAGAGAGAACCCAGAAACACAAAAGTAAATTTGATTAATGATTGGCTAACAGAAAACAGAAAGTAGGAATAAATGGTCTTCTCGCATTGGCAGGCTGCGACTAGTGGGATACTGCTATTAACAATATTTATCAATAATTTGGAAGTGGGGACCAAATGTAAAATTTCCATTTTGTGATGATACAAAATTAAGTGGGGAATGTGTGTTGTGAAGACGTAAAGCAATTTCAGGAGGATTTGGACAGACTTGCAAATGGACTAGAACATGGTGGATGGAATATAACGTGGAAAAACTAGTCATATTATCATACAGTAATAGAGATCTACAACATAGAAAAAGGTCCTTCAGGTCATCAATTCTGAGCTATTCAAAAACAAGCACCTAACTATTCTAATTCCATTGACCCATTACCTTATATGCTTTGGCATCGCAAGTGCACATCTATAGTCTTGAAGTTTCCATTTCAGTTGGAGAAACAGATGTGCACGTCATTTCTTAAATGGTAAGAGGTTGGAAAGTATAGATGTACAAAGGGACGTAGGCATCCTTAATGATAAGCCACTGAAGGTTAACATGCAGATGCAGCAAGCTATTAGGGAGGCTACTGGAATGTTTGCATTTCTTGCAACAGGATTTGAGTACAGCAGTGAAGCCTTAGTCCAATCATACAGGAGCTTGGTTACACCACAGCCTGGAGTACCATGTGCAGTTTTGGTGTCCTTTTGGTCTCTCAGTAAAGATGAAGTGCAACAAAGGTTCACTAGACTTGTTCCAGGGATGGTGGGGCTGTCCTCGGAGGACAGAGTGGATAAACTGGGACTGTATTCTCTACAGTTTCAAAGAATAACAGGTGATCTCACTGAAACTTACAAAACTATTTAAAGAGAAACCCTGTGAATGCAAGTAAGACAAGACCCCTTGCTGGACAGTCTACATTGAGGGGCCACAATATTAAAAATGCTACATAGCTCTGAAATGAGGAGAATTTATTTTACCCAGAGGGTTGTGAATGTTTGGAATTTTCTACCACAGAAGGTTGTGGAATGTCTGTCTTTGAGCATGTGTAACATGGAAATTATCAAATTTCTGATTACAAGTGTGGGAGGTGATGGTGTAGTGATATTATCACTAAATTATCAATCCAGAGACCCAGACTTGAATCCTGCCACGGCAGATGACAGAATTTGAATTCAATAAAAATCTGGAATTAAGTGTTTAATGATTCCTGATTATCAGGAAAAATTCATCCAGTTCACTAATGCTCTTGAGGGAAGGAAACTGTCATTACCAGGTCTGGCCTACATCTGACTCCTGACCCACAGCATTGTGGTTTTCCATTAAGAACGAGCAATTAATGTCATATTCTGTGAATGAATAAAATAAATACAGGTTATGAGGAAGGGTTGATAAAAGACAATTAAGTGTTAGATCAGCCATGATTGAATAGAATGACGTTGGCGGGGGGGTGCAGGCTTGAAGGGCTGAATAACCTACTCCTCTTTCTATGAAGAAATGTTCAGAATCAAAGTTGATGTGTCACAGATTCCAGATTTTTGCCAATAACGTACAGAGAAAATGTGCAGAAGAAATTTAATGCAGTAACTGGTACTGACCTGGAACTTAATGCTTACAATCCAAGGTAGATAATATCAAGGTTCTGATGAATCTTCGTATCCTATAAAAGACATGAATCCTCTTCAAACATCCTGTGGAAGAAGTTTACAAATATCATCCCTGCCTGTGCAGATCAGACATTCAAAACAAAAACACTTCTATTGGTTTGAATTTGCAGTGCTTATGTCCTCCCCATTTAACACCCTGTAAAAGGACTTTTCAAAATCCTTCACTGTTAGTGCAATATAGAAATCCCTTCCCCCTGACCCTGATGACTGTGCATGCTCCCTGCTGCTCGTTGTGACTGGCAGTCAGTCAATTTGAGGATGATGTGTACTAAGGGTCCTGAGTTTTGGGTCTACATGTGACTAAGCAGAGCCACAGATCTTTGAACACATGGCGTCAGGGAGTCCCGTGAGGTAGTGGGATCTGGAGAGCAGGATTTGCTTCACTGAAGCCGCTCTACCTCATCAATAAGGCATGGGTACGAAAGGTTAAGGCAGCTTGATGGACAAGTTGTCTTCACTCTGAACAATGGCCAGCTAGCTCTTCCCAGTCGTTCCAAACATTTCCCTGTACAAAGATGGCGGCTGCGCATGCGTCGTGCAGCTCAGTGCCCCCAATAAAGATGGCAGCCCCCCCCAAGGGCCCTGTTGCCGGGGGGAAGCCTGGAGCCGTCGTTCATCTGGTGCAAACGGCGGTGTGGGGTTATTTTATTCGGGGTTTGTGGCTTACACAAGAACTTCACGAAGTCTCTCAGTCCATTCGCACGATTAACTGGTTCCTTCTTCCTGCCGCATTGCCAATGCTTTCGGAGCTGCCTATCGCCCTCGCTCTCTCCGCGAATGGTCCAGTTACAGTCGACTCTGCGCCTGCGCACTGCTCTCCAGCTTGTGGCAAGGCTTTCAGCACCCGGGGAATTATGGGTAGGTTTCCCCCTATTAAATGCTGTGATAGAATCCCTGCCAGTGTGGAAGTAGGTCATTCGGCCCATCGAGCCTACACTGACTCTCCGAAGAGCATTCCCACCCAGGCATAGAAGTTAGGAACAGTAGGAGGCTATTTGACCCTTAGAGCCTGCTCCGCCATTCTTCATGACGATGGCTGAGTGTCCAACTCAACAGCCTAATCCTGCTTTCTCCCCTGAACCTTTGATCCCATTCGCCCCAAGTGCTGTACCTAGCTGCCTCCTCAGAACATTAAATGTTTTGGCATCAATTACCTCCTGTGGTAATGAATTCCACAGGCTCACCACTCTTTGGGTCAAGAAATGTCTTCTCATCTCCGTCCTAAATCGTCTACCCGGAACCCTCATGCTGTGACCCCTGGTTCTGGACACACCCACCATCGGGAACATCCTTTCTGCATCAACTGTGTCCAGTCCTGTCAGAAAATTATAAGTCTCTATGAAATCCCCCCTCATTTGTCTGAACTCCAGCGAAAACAGCCCCAATCTAGTCAATCACTACTCAAATATCAGTCCCGCCATCCCCAGAATCAGCCTGCTAATCCTTTGCTGCAGTCCCTCGAGAGCAAGAACATCCTTCCTCAGAAAAGGAGACAAAACTGCACACAATATTCTAGGTGTGGTGTCACCAAGGCCCTGTACAACTGCAACAACACATCCCTGCTCCTGCACTGGAAACCTCTCGTAATGAAGGCCAACATATCATTTGCATCTGCAAGCTTACCCTCAGTGATTGGGGTACAAGGGATGCCCAGGTCCCGCTGCACATTCCACTCTCCCAATTTACAGACCTACCCCACTACCCTATATCGCTGTAATTCCCTTGGCTAATCCACGTAGCCTGCATATCCTTGGACAATATGGGCAATTTAGCAACCCACCTTAACCTGTATACCTTTGGGCCATGAGAAGAAACCAGAGCACCCAGAGAAAACCCACCAGACAATGGGAGAATGTGCAAACTCTACACAGGCATTCTCCTGAGGCTTGAATCAAACCCCGGTCCTTGCCTCTGTGAGACAACAGCACTAACCACTGAGCCACCGTGCTGCTTCTGGATGATTCTGTTCAATTTGTTTTCTCTTGTGGGATGGAGAATGGAGCTGAAGAGTCAAATAATATTGTCAGAAAATAAATTATACCGATACTGTCTGAACCAGAAACTCTTGCAATGATGTTGCCCATGCCCTCATCTGAGCCATTGTTACAATGCAGAATAGTCCATTCTGTGCATCCTACATGCTGTCCAAATCAGCACTAATCTGTAAAAACCGAAAAAACTGTGGATGCTGGAAATCAGAAACATAAACAGAAATTACTGGAAAGGCTCAACAGGTCTGGCAGCATCTGTGGAAGAAAATCAAAGTTAATGTTTCAGTTTCAGTGGTCTTTCCTCAGAACTGTTTTGAGGAAGGGTTACTGAACCCAAAACATTAACTCTGCCTTCCCTACACAAATGTTGCCAGACTAATGCCTTCTGCAAGTCCATGTCCATGGCATCAACTGTATTCCTCTGATCAATTTCCGTCATTTGTTTAGCATTAATTAGTGCTATTTGTCAGTCTTCTTCCCGGATCCCTACATGTTCTTCCATTTCAAATAGCCATCTATACTCTTTTGAATGCCTTGACTGAACCTGCTTCCATTACATTCTCGGGCAGTGTATTACAGACACTAACCATGGAAAGAGTTTTTTTTTCCTTAGATAACTTCAAATTCTTGTATTGATTACTTATAATCTGTGCCCTCTCATTCTTAATCCTATTACTAGTATCCCTACTTACTCTGTCCAGTTCAGTCCTGATTTTGAATCGTTTGATTATATGCCCTCTCAGCCATCTCTTTTCCAAGGAGAACAGTCCAATTGATCTTCATAACTGAAATTTCCAAGCTCTGGGTCCATTCTCTTGAATTCTTTCCCTTCATTGCCTTCACATCTTTCCTAAAGTGTAGAGGTCAGAACTGGACACTATATTCTAACTGAGGCTTAACCCAGCCTTGATAGAAATTAAACGTAACTTGCTTACTCTGTACTTTGTCAGCTGGATGGCTGGTTTGTGATATAGATTGATGTCAACAGTGGGGGTTCAGTTCCCACACTGGCTGAAGTAAGATCCACCTTCTCAACCCGTCTCCTTGCTTGAGGTATGGTGACCACCATTCCTTTTTTTCCAACCAGAGCAATCTTACGGTCCTCTGAGACTATGGTGATACTACTACCCCTGTTAATAATGCCTAGTGTACTGTATACTTTGTTAATCACTTTTTCAAGTTGTCCTTCCATGTTTAGTAACTTATGCACATGTACACCCTAGTCCCTCTTCTTCTGCATCATTATTGCATTTGTACCCCTTATTTTGTAGTCATTTGGTAGTACAGGACTCGAATAATGCAGTAGCAAGGCATTTGTAGGAACATTTAGCAAGAAATACCAATGTAAGATGAAAAAAAAATCTAAATTGGATGAGAAACAAGTTCTTATCTTCCTACTAAAATGTATCACTTCACATTTCTTCACATTGGAATTCACTTCTTCCAACTGCATACCCTGATTCCTGCCACTCTGCAAATTTTGTATCTATGTTGCTGCTGTTCCTTTCACTCCATGAATTTATAGCTTTGCTCACAGTCATCTGCGGTGACAATGTATCTAATGCCTTCTGCAAGTCCATGTCCATGGCATCAACTGCATTTCTCTGATCAACCATCCCTGTTTTATGTATTATGTCATCCTATTAATGTTAAACAAATTGGGACAACCCGGTGTTGTCATTTTGTTTACTGAAGATAGAGACTTTTTTTTTAAAATTGAGGGATCAAAATATTGTTGACGTGTTTCACTCTCAATCTGTGAAATATATAAAAAAAATTAGGTGGCCATTTTAAGGGAAAAAAGATCATTTTCAGGTTAAAATATGACAAATAACCTAACAATAAAACCATCTTAGATGTATATGATGTCTTCATTGTAAATACTTAATATATTGTTTTAATGACATTTGGCAATAGATGATTTTAAGATAGTAAATGTCAATCATTGTAATTAAAAACATTAGTAATAGCTTGGATTATGAAGGAGATAAAAATTAACATAAAGATGAATAAGTGTGCTTAGGACAGGTGGCAGGTAGAAAGCACATTTGAGAATCAATGAGAATACAGGAGCTTCAGGGGAGAGGTGAAAAATCATAGTAAAGAAGCAAAAAGGCTTTTATTTTAAAAAAGCAGCCCATAATCTTTCAGTCTTCCCAAGCCTCAGGAGAGGTGCCAACATCTGAAGAATTGGGAACATTGTTCATAAAGGGATTGTTTAGAGAAGCACAACACTGACGGAGTCATCTTAACTTCGATACTGGGGAAGAAACTTTTTCTGGATAAGTTAGTAGTCATATGGACAAAGATGATCAGTTGATTGTGAAGAGTCAACATGGATTTCTAAACAGTAAATCATGCTAACTAGCACACTGAAGCTTTTTTGCGGTGATAACAGATAGTATCTATGAGGACGATTATGTTGATGTGGCATCTACGGACTTCCAAAACGCATTTAATGTAGTGCTATAAACAGACTTGTGAGAAAAGTTATAACTGATGGAATAAGGGATTCAATAACAATGTGGATATAAAATTGGCTGAGTTATAGGAAACAGAATAATGGTCAATGGATATCATTGAAATTGGAATAGGATTTGTCATGGAATTCCCCTGGACTCGTTATTGGAATCCATCTATTTCCTGATTGATATTAATAATCTAGATCTTGGTGCAGAGGAGACAATTGCAGAGTTTATGAATGATATGAAACTTGGAAAGCATTGTAAACTGTGAGGAATACATTTTAGAACGTAAAGAGGACATGGATAGAGTTGGCAGAGTGGATGGATGGGTGACAAAAGACATTGAATGCAGGGACGGGAAAATTAATGCATTTTGGCAGGAAGAACACAGAAATGCAATATAAAATGAAGGATACAATTCTAAATAGTGCAGGATCAGAGTACATGGATTTATATGGGCACAGATCATTGAAGGTGGCACAACAGGTGGAGACAGCAGTTAATAAAATGTACAGTGTCTTGAGATTTATTAATGGGGGAATAAAGCACAAGACAAAGGAGGTGATGCTGAACTTGCATAACACACTTATTAGATATGAACTGGAATACAGCTCCATGTGCTATATTATGGGAATACAATGAACATATGGAGAAGGACTGAAAAGATCTATGAGGAAGTTTCTCAGCTATGGAACCAATGTTATGTGTTATGAGGGACTGGAGGGTTTGGACTGTTCTTCTCCTAAAGAAGGAGGCAAAGAATGCAATCAGATAAGTAGATTTCAAAATTCATAGAATCCCCACAGTGTGGAAACAGGCCATTCAACCCAACAAGTTCACACCAACTCTCCAAACAGCATCCTACCCAGGCTCACCCCACTGCCCTATAACCCTGCATTTCCCATGGCTAATCCACCTAACCTACATATCCCTGGACACTACAGGCAATTTAGCATGGCCAGTCCACCTAACCTGCATACTTTGGGCTGTGGAAGGAAACCAGAGCACCCAGAGGAAACCCACACAGACACAGGGAAAATGTGTAAACTCCACACAGACAGTCACCTGAGGCTGGAACTGAACCTGAGTCCCTGGTGGTGTGAGGAAGCAGTGTTAACCACTGAGCCACCATGCCACCCTATTTATGAGTGGCTTGGAGAGTATATATATGGAGAAATCATTCCTGCTTGTAAAAGGACCAAGAACAAGAGGACACAGATTAAAAGTGGTTTGCAGAAGAAGCAAATGTGATATGAGATAAAGCATTTTTTAAAATTAGAATGCACTGTTTGGAAGACTGATAGAGACAGGTTCCATTAAGGTATTCAAGAACAT